CCAGAAGGGATGTGCCTGTTGGTGAACAACAGTGACAACAGCTCTGCTCTTTTCCCAAAGTTTTAGTTCTGCTCTGTATGATCCTACAATGAAGGATCATTACACTTAAACTATTACTTAAACAAAAATCCTTTCAGTCCCACTATTTTATATTCTAAGTGTAAAACATCTTTTTTTTAAAAACAGCTACACTCTTCTAAAACAGTAAACGCACAGTGACAGGCATTTTAAACAAGTACTTCTTATTTATTCACAATTTAGATAAAGTTTAAGGAAAGACAAAAGAAATACAAAGGACAACATTAAAATGAAAAGGAATTTTAGTGACTGAAGTGAGTTTCTACAGCCAGTGCTCTCCACACATTTCCAAACATTATCCAAACACTGCAGATGCAGATTTCAAATAAATCCCATAATAAACCGCTATGACTATTCCCTTTGAAATTAATCTGGGAATGGAAGTTAGCCGCCTTTATCTSTGAGTACACAAACCACCAAATTCTTCAGTTTCAGCTCAAAGCCACACTTATCCTTTTCAAGATGGAATCTGCAGTAACATTTCAAGCAGCTTGTTTCATTTAGTCTGAGCTCTGCTATAAAAAAGTCAGTGTCAACCTTCTGCATAAGCAAGCAGGTTTTGCTGTTGCTTGTGCAGTCTCTGCAGCTCAGAGCAGACTCACACTTGCAGCTTGGAGGTATCCCTGCAGATACTGCAGTGCTTCTGCATTCAGGCTGGTGCTCAGCATGGACAGSACCTGCAAGCACAGGAGGGAGCAGAGGTGTCACTGGGGGATACCACAGCCCACACTGAGCAGCACTGATCCGTGGGGAAAGCAGCTCAGCTCTGAGSAAATCTTTCCTTACCAAAACCTTGGACAAAACAAACGTGCTATGGCCCAGAAGAGTTAACTGTCACTCAGCTTGTCTAATTTCATATGAGCTGCCTGAATTCCTCGGGTACATGCAATTCATTGAACTTGAGAAAAGTATTCGTTAAACACCATCAAGTGGGTAAATTTTCTTTTYAAAAATGGCATATTTAAGCAAAATTAAGTGTCGTGGAAATAAGGCCTTTCTAAGGCTCCTAAGGAAAAACCTTACAAAAGCTAAAGAATAAATCTTTATTCCAATAAAGAATCAAATGCAGCATGATCTGGCATTCTAGTTATGACCTACTTAATTTATGCTGAATATCAAACATTAGCAAAGAGACCCCTCCCCACCAAGGCATTTCTCCTCTGCAGAATGCAGTGTMCAAGTCACCTACCCTGCCTGGACATGCTGTAGACAGTTTGTGGAGAGACTGTGCCAGGTGGATTCTAGGGTTGTTCACCATTTGACCTACAGGATCATGTTCTTTTTTGCCAGCAAAGGCTAGCTGAGAGAATGCAGTCTGATAGCCTGGAGTATCTTCTATGTCAATGAAGTGTTCTTCGTCAGGGATTGTGTCATCCTCAGGCAGCTCAAAGAGGCCAATGAGGGCCTGCAGCAAAGGAATCCTGGCAGCAAAGAGGGGAGGGCAAAATTGGAGTGCTTAAAAGATGTTAGGACAGGGTGTATTTTACAAGGATGCTCAAATTACTTGGAACCCTTTATAATTTAGCCTTTGCAGGTACTTGCTTGGCTATTGAAATTGTAAATGCCCACRTAGGCTGGACCAGAAGAACTGTGGGTCTGTGTATTTTACAGGCATAATGGGGGTACTCSTATCAAGAGCATGAGAAATGTATTTATCTTTTATCAGGTCAAATTGTCATGAATATACCCAACAAAARCAATTCTTCTCTGGATCACAACTTTGCTTTAAGTATTTAAAAAAAAAATGTTCTAGTTCAGGGATCTAGTCTGGGATTCAGTCAGTGTCATCCAATTCAGACACCTGGCATCCCARGCTGGTTTACAGTCAAACTTCCCAGGTGGCTTTCCCCAAAATTCCCCTCTCACTCTGTCAGGTTATGAATATGCTCAGGACTCCTGACTACAAGAGGTTTAAGTCAAAATTGAGACAAGCTTTCCAGAAAGAATAAAAGYTGTAGGAAAAGTAGTGTATTTCCCTAAATGCAGCTCCAGCTAGCCAAATCTGTGCTTTTCCCATCAAAAACACCTCAAACCAGTTCTGTCATTTGCTTTGAAAAGACTGTTTCATTTGYTGTGAAAAGGAAGCAGTATGAAAGGCCTAAAACAGCCTCATGACAACAGTGGGCCTGAAGAGATGATGATGAAGTTTATTTCAAGGATCTGTTTTGGTGAGAGCTCACATTTTCACAACCTGAAGAAGTGGGGTACCTACCACAGCTTGGTGTACTCAGTGTCCATCATGGGAGGACATTCTGTTAATATTTTTGTAATGCCAACAGCACAGATTTTCTTTTCAACTTGTCCAGACACTTTCTGGATTTCAGGAATTATAATTTTCTCCAACACCATTCCAAACATCCTTGTGACATTGAGAGAAAAAGTATTAGAAAGTCTTATCAGACTTATGGTGACAAAAGAAAACCAGAAACAATAAGAATTGCTAGCAAATAGAGACAACCACATAATTTGTTAAGCTGCTGCCTTGTTGCAGTAGACCCTTGCACATACAAACTTTTCACAAAGGATAGCACTAAAGACATCAATCTTTCCTTTTCATGATCTKCTTAGATTAGTAACTTGAACTACCAGTGAGGAACTGTGGTCACAAATTCAGAAAAAGAAGRCATGCTAGACAAATAAATGAACTAAAATTAGGAGAAACATTTGGCCAGTCAAATTAGTGATAAATGCAGACTGACAGTTTARCTAGAGACAACYCTTTCCTACTTCAAAAGATAAAAATTATACAGCAGTATGAAATATAACCCAAACAAACAAAACATACTAACTTTGGCTGTATGCTGTCAAATATTTCTTGCAGAGCTAATGCCCCATACCTTACACARTACAAGTTAATGAAGACGAGGAAACCTGTAACAAGAAAAAAGTCAAACTCCACATGAAAACAAAATAATAGCTTTAGAGTTAGCAGCAAAATATATTCTAACAAGTKTTTTAAGGGGATAGAAATGGCAGTCTTTATCCATATTCAGATTAAGTGAAATACATTAATTTGCTACCTTGAAATTTGCCTAAAAACTGATCTTTTCTTGTACCACAACACAAAGCCAAGGTGGTATAGGAGTAATTCCTTTTTCCCCTTCTAGCATTTAAAAAAGGCMATAGAAGAGCTATTTGCAATTTTTTTCAGATCAAGAACCAAAAGAGCTCTTCAATGCTTTAAGCAGAAAAGTTCCCACAATGCAGACTTTGGGGTAAGCTGCAGTCCCCTTTGCACAGCTGCAATGTGTTCAAAGCACCACTTCAACTTTGTGGAAGACCATKATAAGCAGCTCTATCCCTCTTGTTCCTGTCAGGTGGCATTAACAGATTTTAAGTGATAGACACTGCATTATTTGTGTAGTGATAATATCATTAATTTAATCAGCATGAGAATCTTGTGACAGCAGGAAGAACCAGAATCTGTTTCAATAATCCATCACAGCTTTGCCAGTATATCACAAAACCTTATCAATAGGTGTAGTCACAGTAAGGCAAACATGGAATATTTCACAGTCCTGACACACAACTCCAGGCAGCCACAGCAAGTGTGGTCAGTATTGCTGTGCTGCAWGAGAGGGAAGCTTTGCTGCTATCAGCTGGAGATTAAATGGAGACATTTCCAGATAATGACATCACACACACTACAAAAGAAAGAGAAATACACACGTCTTGTCCATTATTTTAATTCCATTCCCTCCAATTTTGTGAAGTGTCACCTGCTATGGTGACTGCTCCATCCACCCCTGTTGATGAGCAGTAATCTGGAGCAAGTGCCTGGAGTCTCCAYTATCCCTCCACCTGAGTATTGGGGCAGACAGGACACTTGTTCTGTGCAGCTGCACACTCTGAACTGCTGCTGTCACCAGAGCTTTTCACAGAGGAAGAAACTTACTTTTGATAAATTTTGTTGTTTTGGAATTTTGAAGTCTTTGGAATAGCAGAATGAAGATCTGTTTCCTGTACTGGTCAACTGATTCACTGGAAATTTAAAAGAACAGTTATTCAATTCACACTAGGCTGTTACTGATGCTGCTTCACAGAAAACATGTATGGAATCATTCAAATCTGTTTGACTGAAAAATGTGMTATTTTCTGATGTTAAAAATTAACATTTGATAGGTTTATACACTTTGTAATTCAATGTAATTTCAGCTCATACTCACGGAGGCATGTGCTCGATGATACTGTTTAGAAGATAGAACCCCTGATGGTCATTAGCTTTAGAAGCAATCAACTTCTGGAACACACCTAACAATCCAGGCTGCAAGAAAAGCAAATAKCAAAGCCTAGACAACAGTTCTTCATATGTGACCTACCAGAAAATTGGCCATTATCATCTATAGCATACATGAAGGCAAAAGCCTTCCTAACCTAAGCCAGTATTCCATTTTTGCAGTTCAGGTCAGAGAAGACGAATTTRGTTTCTTCCCACTCACTCTTCTCAAGACTGTTCTGAACAGAACCTGAAGATTCTCATTATCCACATGTTTAACATGAGGCAAACAAGACAAGAAAATTTGTGGAAATTAATCTTCTTTWAAGAACTAAGAGCAGGAATTTTTTATCTCAATTGACAAAAGCATGATAGCCTAGGATTCATCATATCCACAAAATGGAAAAGCACCCAAAAAGCTACAGAGTATTAGTTTGTCTGTCTGTGTAAGCAGCAAATGTAGCACAAATGCAGCTATTTGCTGAAGTTCCTCATATTAGTAACCTCAAATGAGCAKGTCTGAAGGCACACTCACAATTTTGTCGGCGGCAGCGCTGGCGATGGTGCTGGCGCCCCGCTCCAAGTACGCCTGCAGGAGCCGSACCAGAGGGGGAATGTTTCCTGTCCTCTCCCAGAGAACTGGCTGCAGCAGGTGAGGAAACAATGCCATGTAGGATGATGGGATTTCATTTTTATGCATTTCTAGAAGTAGGGACATCACTTGAAACACATACGGAATGAACTCTGGAAGAGAAATGATGACATTTACAGAATCAGACAACATGGTCASTCCTCAGAAACCACATATCTRTGGATTGAACCYRTAATTCTATGAGTAACACAARGACTTGTGTTAATCTCATAACTTTCCATTTCCCCTACCCCTTAATGTTTCAGAATATGGAAAACAAACTATTAGAAACAACACACTAGAATTAAGAATARTAATAAGAGGCTCTGGAGTAGTGACTGCTAGATATTTTTAAAACGCAATTTTAAAGTAAGTGAATGCTGTTGATGTACCCTATGGAACAATCTAGATACTTCCAGACTGTGAAAACGCTATTTCTCCCCTTGAATTTCCTGTGCTACAAAAAAAACCTGTTGTAAGATAAATCCCAGCAGCCAAGSCCAGTGGAGAGAGCACAAGCATCAGTGACTGTCATACCTTGCACATCATTCTGCAGGATCTCTGTGAACACCAGGAACAAAGCCTCCTCAAAGCTCCCCACTGCCTCGGGGTTTGCCTTGCACGTAATCCTTATCGACAAGCAGATTGACTCAAACATGTAATGGTTAAAGTGAGGCTTGCTGGGATTCTAAAGACAAGTTGTAAACACATAAATCAACCAAATTCGCAGACAGGTCACTTATTTTGCTAAATATTATCTTTTATTTCAACTGAAGACTAAAGTAGGATACTTGTAACTACTTTATTAAGGACACTTGTAAATTATTTATGAATATGCTTATAAAAATCAATAGATAAACACAAACATAAAGACCTCTAAGGCATAAAGGAGAGGGTTTTTTTGTAAGTATTTCTATGAAACAAATGTTTTTCAGAAGCTCTATATAAACTAGCAAACAGCTAAAATATCTGAGAACAAAAACCGGAAAAAGATTAATTTTCCATCTTCYAAGTGTCCAGTCAATTCTCTATTGAAYACTTCTTAAATGCTGCAGCTGAATTTACTGTACAGAGAAGAAGGTTTTGTTTTGGACAGCTGATGGCTAAGGCATTGCCTTAATRTCCATGGTTAAGAATTTGGCCAATYTAAACAAAAAACTAAGAGAATTTTACCCAACAAAAGCAGAAGGGTTATTTATTTAATTCAATCCCACATTTCAATGCCAATATTTAATATTAGCTTCAGAAGTTTCATGGGCAAATGATTCCAAAGTTGTGATAAAACCAGATTATTATATTGGTGGCCTCTCTACAAGCAAATATTTAGACTGCAACAAACTAGCATTACAGAAAGGGTTCACATGTTGCTTCTAAATTTCAGATGAGAGCAGGGTGAATGATGTGAAAACACRTCCTAAAAGGAAGGCAGTACCTCAYTGGAATGCTGTTTGAACTTAGCTGAGTGAGAAAATATCATAACAGTATTCTAACAAAACACTACCAAGTATCCACAAATCCTCAGCAAGACTGCTCTAAAAGGTAAAAGGTGACCCTTTTGCTTTATTTCTTTACCTTACTGACAGCCAGCAGTTTCTGTGTGAGCTGTGTGATGACAGAAGGGATGTATGGAATTATGGACTCCTGTAGCAGAGAAAAACTCCTCATGATGGCTGCAAAGAAATAGAAAATATTATATTCTGAAAACAAAATACACTTCTGCCACCCACCTTCTGCTACAAATTGTTTACGTTTTACTGTTAAAATAGATCCCAAGGAAGTAGGTACAGTAAGAAAGAGCACCTGCTTCAAGAACAYTCAGTCTATAATCACGACACAGGATGAAACAAAGCCTCATTATTCCCATTCTACAGATGGAATACAGGAGATTAAATAACTTTACAAAGACCACCACTTGTCCCAGATGCATCTCAGATCTCAGCATCCTCTTAGCCACGATCTATCCTCTCACTAGCCATGACCAGATTGTTCAGATCTTCCCCTAATACTGTCCAGGTAGCTGTCTCGACTACAAAGGCTACCATYTGAGCAATAATTTCCCCAGTATCATTATGTTTAGTGTATCTCTTTGGTACCACAAGTTCAGTCAGATGACATGATACAGTCTGATGAGTAAGTGCAGGCTGCGTGGACMTCTTCAGCACATTTGCATAAAATAGGTTTTGTAAATAAAACTGTCATAAGCCTTTACCTCAAGTCAACCATTACAGGACTCATTAGGCATTTACCTTTCATAATGTATTCATTTTCAGATGAGCCAGGAAGCGTCAGAGCTTTGAAAAGGTTTGTTAACAGCACTTCTACAAACGGTGCCATTTCTGCAGCTGTRATGCTGTCAAGTGAAACACAGCTCTTTAATGATCAAAGACAGTCACCAACTTCAAGCCCTATACAATACCACAATATATGACATGAAAGTTCAGACCTACAYGTATTTCTCATCCTTAATGCACAAAACTTAAGTAGCAATGAATTTACTTCTGCTTGAAAACTTACAGAGTAGCATTATTTGTCCCTCTCATGGTAAAGAGTCTTTCAAGAGCATGGGCTGCGTAGGTATGGACCACAATACTTTCTGCTTGGAGATGATTGATTAAGAGAGGAATAGACACCAGCAGTTGTTCTTTTGGTACCTAAAAAAATAYAGCAACAAATCATGTATATGTTAAAAAATACAGATGGTTCAACACTAGAGCACAACTGAGCTCATCAGAGACATACAGAGCTTGGCAGAGGAAGAAATCTTGGAAGAAATGCTGTTGTTTTATCACACCTTGGCACCCAAGAGATACCTATTTCTATCATTGCTCATATACTTCCTCTGAACACCAATGGCACATTTGAATTAGCAGCACGTGCAGATAAACCTAATGTGTATTTCCGTTTCCATTTTGCTTTGTCTTACTMGGTGATTAAAAATATCAAGGTTTAAAAACCCAAAATTATGGATATTTAATAAGACATGAATAAAGGTAATCTAAAATTTAGAAATAAYATTCAACMCRTTTTCTTACCCCATCTCACAAATGARAAAAGGTAAAGGACAAAACTGCTGTGTTCTGTAACCACCAGTGCAATGATACGAGCAATCAAGCGTATTTAGACTAACACTGACTTGAAAAAAGTCTGAGTGTGTCACAGAATTAAGCAGCTAAGATATTCAGTGTTCCCACAGCATATGGACAGCATACAGACTACATGTTAATTGGATATTTATAACAATATCATTTACTTTCTAAACTAAAAATTAATCATGAAGTGTTATATATGACTGCCAAACACCTGCTGAGTTAACATATGGCCAAGTGTGATAAACTGGGCTTGGCAAGTATAAAGCAACAAACGACAATATGTTTTTACCATAGGAGAAAAACTTACTTGGTTTCTAAAAATCATGATATATTTGATACCATCTGCTTTTAGAACAGGGAATTCATTCACTGCAATAGAAAAATATGCAAACTTTGTTGATACTTCTCATACAAATGGGATTACTGAACATGTACTACATATACAGGCAACACTTGACACTAAGTAATCATTTTTCCCCATAAAAATAACACAGAATATTTTTCTACATTCCTTATTTCCTTCACTTCTGTATGGGCACTGTCAGAATATCAGTTTTAGGTACAAATTACACCCCAGTACCATTAATAGTACAGTCCAGCTCAGATGAAATTTCATCTTCTGGCTTCAATTTTAACAGCCTCCAGTAACACATTTTGAGACAGCCCACTATGCTTCAAATATAGCAAGGTAATTGTTGAAGTATAAAATAAATTATGTGGCTTAAATCTGGACATCCACAACCTCACTGACAGCGCCTGGTAGAGATCACCTGTCAGTGACCTGTACCAGTATTTTCCTTTCTCAGGGTTTTGTAGAGCATGGAAGTTTTACCATAAAGTCTCAAWTACAGAAATCAAATTACTTTGATTCAACAAGTTTAAGCACATAGCTGATAGCAACCATGTGTGTATATGCCCTGATCTTACAGAGAGCTGGTGGTAGGGTGGCAATTCACCTTGCTGTTAACAGCTCCTTCACTGCTGGCCAAACAAAAATTAATTCCCCTGTGCCAGGTGTTAACAGCTCCTATCTCAGAGACTTTGCTGATAAAGGAGTGCTTGAGACTTCAGAAACAATGGTCACTGKCAAGGTTATGATACATCACAAAAAGACCATATCAAAATTAACATTAACTTACCAGTAGCAGACTTYAAGTCAGGTTGAATGTGATTCACAAAGAATTCTGTCAGATTAACAAGTTCATTGGCCTGTGTTATTCCATGCTGGAAAAAGCAAAAAAWWAMYTWWTTTT